AACTTTGACTGCCTCAATTTTAACAAACGATAGAATACATTAAAATAAACAAAAAAACCTTATATGACATGGGTCCTAAACTCAACCATTTCCGAGAAAAAAAATTATCAAAATCTCCAACTTGATGTACAAAAATTCAATTAATTAAGGAATACTGACATAACTGCGTGCATAGAATACCATAAAATACAATGTTTATCACTTTTTTGAACTTCTTTATGCTTAATTCTAAAAAATAATTAGCGTTGTAATAAACTTAAAATTCGATAAAATTCATATCGAGCAATGTGACAACGGCGCGGCGGTTTATTAACACGAGGTACTAAGGTGTCCAGCAACCACCAATACGCAATTCTGTTGGTATCTGGATTCGACCGTGTCGGAGTGTTTTCTGCGTACCACTATTTCCTTGGAGTGTTTTCCAGCGAGTGCGCGAAAATTATATTCGAAGGTGTCGTGCTTGCATGGAAAATGGTGGTGGATATTTTAAGCATATGTTGTAGTTTGTTTTGTACTTGTGCGTTTAAAAATTACTGAATTTTGCTTTTTAGTAAGTACCTAAATTATTTTTAATGCGTATGATTATTTGGACGACGTGATTCTTTGGGTACTTTAATTACATATTTTTCAAATACGTTATTTGATTAAAAGTTAAGTTCCTGTTTTAAGAGATTCATAAATTACTAAAATTCGAGCGAAAATTTAAGCACACGTTTTATTTTATTTATTTAAAAACTGGAAAACAATTGCCTTGAAATTTATTAATGTTTCACAATAATAGTTGTTTATTACATTTTTTCCATAGGACAAGTCTGCCGCGTGTACACGTGGTGTGCATCAGTAGGTTAAACGCTATGATAAAACTCCCCAATATTAATACTCGCTGTATTTTGAAATGGTAGGTAATATTCATTTTTAAACATTATGAAATTTTGAATTGTTCTCTAAAATGGTTGTGACTTTGGCGGCAGTAAATCAAATTGTTCTACAAGTAAAAAAGACTGAATTTCTGTTAAATGGTAATCTTTCTTTTATAACTTTTCACTGAAATTCTAAATTGTTCCCTGTTGTAACAAATTCATCTATATGTAAACAAAAACTACTGAATTTGCTGTGAAATGGTAATCTTTCCTTTCTAAATTGATAGAAATTCTGAACTGACCTCTAGTTGTAACAACTGTGATTTTAGTTGTAACTAAAACAAATTGCTCATATGCGATGAAAAACTGAATTTTCTCTTAGGTAATTGTGGTCTGGCATATTAACTGTGTTTTTGGCGGTAAGAAAACAAATTGCTCTATATGCATAGAAAAACTAAATTTGCCGTCAGAAAATACTATTCCTTTTACAGTTTATTAATGAAATTTCGAATTGTTTCGTGATTGTGATTTTGATGATAGGAATCGAATATACGACAACCTGAATTTTCTTTCAAATTAATCCTCCTTTTTTTTTACAATTTACTGAGATTTCAAACTGCTTATATATGCGATGTAGCAATGTTTATTTTACAATTTATTGAAGTTCTGCATTGTTAACCGGCTACACGGAGTGATTTTGGTAGTAGGAAAACAAATTGTTCTATATTGAAGGAAAAACTGGATTTGCTGTCAAATTATCATTTTTCTTTTCTATTTTACTGAAATTTTGTTCTGTTCTTTAGCTTTAACAACTGTGATTTTGGCGGTAAGGAAACAAATTGTTTTATACAGGGTGTCCCATTAATATTGCGAAAAAATTCAGGGGGAGTTTCCTTGACCAAAAATAAGAAAGTTCCTATAAACCTATGTTCCAAAATGCTTCGTTTTGGAGATACAGGGTGTTGAAATTTAGAGTATGTTTGTTTATCAAAACGGTAGACGTCTTCTCACGTAATTTTATTTATTTCATCTATTCTAGCGGCGTCCGTGGACTCACTCCTGTTGATATTAATAAGTAAACATATGAGACGTCACTGCTTTTTCTTAGGTGTCATATGTTTTTCTAATTATGCGATAAAAAATAGTATAAATAGTATTTCTGCTAAAAATTGAGGATTTCCCCAATTTTTTGTCGTATCTATCGACATAAATCTAATCTTAACGGAAAATCAGTCTGTAAAAGTGCCTGAACCCGTTGGATGTGATAAGGGTATAGAAGATTATTTTTTAAAATCCTGAAAAAATTAGAACGACTTGCATTTAAGTTTCTAGCAATCTGTCTGGTACTTGTTGTTGGAGCATCCTCAGTTTCATGAAGTTCAGAAAAATATTTTTTTTGCTATAACTTTTGTATTTTTCAATAAATTTAGAAAATTTTTTGGCTGGATCGATAATTTTTGAAGCTGCTTTGGATGATAATATGAAATCCTCGTTAATAATTATGGGGGCCCGGGGACAAAGCACCCCACACCAAAATTTCTAGAAAAAAAATTTTTGTTCCACTATACCCCAAATTTTCCATCATTTTATAAAAATAATTTATGGTATTTTACGTAAAAAAGGTATGCTTGTTGAATATCCATAAAATAGATATTTTTTTAGATAAACCCGTTTAAAGAGGAAGGTACCATTTAATTTGACACATTTTATTTAACAGAAACACAGGTTTAATCATAGTTGACTTTTACATATCAGAATAAAAGACAAATAATTTGCAATAGCAGTGTTCCAAATTATGAAAATTTGGACTTAACTAAACTAACTAAACAAAAAGTGCATGATAATCAAAATTTTGTACCTAATATAATTCATAATAAATTCTCAATATTAGTTCCACCTTCTCTTATACAAATACGAGCTCGTTTAACAGAATACTGTTGCACTCTCCATAACATTTCAGGATTTTGTCGTATTTCATTTGCACAATAAAAAATCTTTTCTTCTAATTCTTCTCTAGTGGTTACAGGTGTGGAATAAACAAGATTTTTCAAGTGCCCCCAAAAGAAAAAGTCAAGTGGATTCATATCTGGAGTTCGGGCAGGCCAATGAATAGGTCCACCGCGACCTATCCAGCGATTAGGATATACCTCGTTTAAATGGTCCCTTACTGCAGCACTAAAGTGAGGCGGCGCCCCATCGTGCATGAATATCAGTGCATTTCTGGTTTCAAGATCAACATCTTCTAACAGTTGTGGTAATTGATGCACAAGGAAATCTAGGTAACGTTGACCATTTAGTCTAAGGGGTAACACAAATGGACCCAATAAGTAAGGACCAATAATTCCACTCCAAACATTAACATAAAATTGTCTTTGGTGCCTAATTTCAATAATAGCGTGTGGGTTCTCATCAGACCAATAATGTAAATTGTGGGAGTTAATAACTCCATTCCTCCCAAAACTTGCTTCGTCAGTATACAGAATTAATCTCGTAAACATAGGATTTTGCTCATGCCTCTGAAGAAACCATTGAGAAAACTGTACTCTTGCACGAAAATCAGCAGGATTAAGAGCTTGCACTTTTTGGATATGGTAAGGGTGAAGAAGCTGTTCTCTAAGGATTCTTGCAACAGTGGTCTTTGGAACATTGGTAAAAGAAGATAATGACCTAATGCTAACTGTTGGATGAGCAGCAACTTCGTCCAGTATATTTTCCTCTACTTCAACTGTACGTGCTGTTCGCGGGGCACCCCTGTTTGCAGTAACAGGAGCAAACTGACCTAAAGACATTAAAATTTATTTAATATCCATTTTGTTTAATAATAGTAATCGTATTTTACCAGTTTCTCTTAATCTTTGATCAATACGTTCGAAAGTTTTGCGATCCGGAATCCTTCTATTAGGATAAGAATGCTGATAAAATCTTCTTGCTGCCGAAGCATTACAAAGAGCCCGCCCGTACATTAAATGCATATCAGCATATTCTTCATTGGAATACTCCATATTTTATAAAAATTATGAGTTATGAGATGAGTCTTAGATTTAAAACTACGTATTTGTCAAGTTTGACAATTTAATTGCCTTTGGCATACTCTGACATGTCAAAGCCAACCACGATTAAATCTGTGTTTCAATTAAATAAAATGTCTCAAATTAAATGGTACCTTCCTCTTTAAACGGGTTTATCTCAAAAAATATTTATTTAATGGATATTCAACAAGTATACCTTTTTTACATAAAATACCATAAATTTTTATAAAATGATGAAAATTTGGTGGGGGGCGCTTTGCCCCTGGGCCCCCATAATTATTATCGAGGATTTCATATTATCATCCAAAGCAGCTTCAAAAATTATAGATCCAGCCAAAAAATTTTCAAAATTTATTGAAAAATACAAAAGTTACAGCAAAAAAAAACTATTTTTAATTCTCAACTTCAAGAGCTAATAACTCTACAGGGTGAGCCCGGAGGAAAAAAATTTATATGAACTTGTTACATTATTTTCTCATTATCTATCCATATCCGAAAGATTGCCCACCATTTCCGGGACACCCTGTATGCGATGTTGCACTATTTCTTTTACGATTTATTTAGAATAGTTAATTGGTTATACTGAGTGACTTTGATAGTGAATTGATCTATTTACAGAGAAAAACTGAATTTGCTATTAGACAGCACTGTTCCTTTTACAATTCACTGAAGTCTTGAATCGTAGTCTGGTTGAGACTAAGTTCCCGATCGCTGTATAGTTATCTTGACAGTGATTTTGTTAGGAGGAAAACGAATTGCTCTACTCATATACGCGACCAAAAACCGAATCCGCTGTAAAATAATCTTCATTATTTTACAATTTACCGACGTTGCGAATTACCAGGTAGCGTTGTTTACACCGTCGGCGCCTCAGAAGTCGGGGACACGCGTACCCGGCCAACAATAAACCACCACTCCACCTGCAGCAGCAACCTCGCGACCGCCGAGAGTCCCCCGGCCAAGTGGAAATGTGGAAATCGAAGAGCAGCGCACACCTCCCGGCGGCTCCGCAGCCTCCTACTGGTCTCTCCTCCGCGAGCTGAATGACAGCGCAGTGAGTGGTGGCGACCGATTCCAAAGCGGAGCGCTCCAGATCGGTGCCGACCAGCGGAGGCCATCCGGAGCAGCCAACTATCAACTATCTCACCTCCACTGCACCTGCCGTGGCCGCGGTCGCCGAGCTGATAACTCGACTCGGTTAGCCGACCGAATCACGGTAGTCCAGTCCAAGGGAGCTGCCGCTCAAGCAACGCTCGATAGCTCCGCCGGTGCATCCTCGCAGATTGCTGCTTTTGGGGTGGTCGCGGTTTTTTCGGAAAGGAAACAGTGATTCGGACGCCAGTCGAAGTGATCGCAGTGAGTGACTTGTCGCGTCAAGCGGATAGGATCGTCAGCTGAAAGGTTAATATTGCTGTTGGGTCGAAGAACGTGGTGGTTTGGCAGGGTACCTGTTGATTCCGTTGGTGAAGTTGTCAATGCATTGTGATAAAAGAGGTTTTAGAATTGATGCAGAAATCCTGCAACAGTGAAGTTCATTAAGAAACTTGTTTGTTTATTTTGAAGGAAATTTAATGTATTTAAAATTTGTGCAAAAAGCTCTGTATTCGGTGTTGAGACGCAAAAGGTGACTTGAGTTTTTCTCCTCCAAGAAAATGTTAATAATTTGGCGTAGCTAAGCAGCGCAAAAATAGTTTTTCAACAGTCAAAAGTATCAATTGTTAAAACATAAAGAATCGAACGTCATTTCGTAAGAGAAGGTAAATTAGTTTTTTATTATGCCGTCATCAGGGAAGTAGTGATAATCATTGGAAAATAATTAGCTACATAAAACTGTTAATGAATAACATGTGTAAGATAACGAAAGCATCGATCATTTTCTTTCAAGTCATCCTATCAAATTGAGAATGAACATTGTTTTTTTCCGAAGATTGTCAATTTTTTTCCTGGACGGATAATAGACGAAACTATATGCGTAAAATGTACTTTTAAGTTTCCTTATGCTATTCGCAACGACAACAAAGTCAAAACGAAGCATCGCTATTCCGCCATTATTTACGTTGACAACCCTAGCTGAATCAGTTATTAGCAGTGTTTTTTAAAGACCAAATTGATATACAGGGTATTGTAATTTTCCACGCATAAAATTCAGATCGAAGGTAAGAAAGTACTTCATATGAACGTAGGTCTATAAACGTTTCGGTTTTGAGTTGAGCTACCTAAAGAAAGATACATTTTTATAATTTTTTTTGTGATTCTTTTTTATTTTACATCTTTCAAGTTAACCCATCCAAATCCTTTACACTATTCAACACTAGCATACGAATTGTCATCAGAAATAATATAAAGGTGACTTTTTTGGAACCGCAATTACTCTAGTTCTTCAGAATTTTTTTGGTATAACTTTTATTTTGAGAACAGACAACTTTTCTATTTTATCTTTGCGATGTCGTACTTCTTTTGTGTCGAAATGTAACTTAAAAGATAGCTAGTAATGTTCTCTGATCTGTTGACAGATTAAAACTGTAACATGTTGCAAGTTTAATGACCAGCGAATAGATCCATTAGTACCATTGTGATGATGGAGAGGATTATGATTAAAAATTGAATTGTTTTCATTGAAGGGAATGTACTTTTACAAAATTTGCGAAAAGGTGTTTTTGTTATCTAACCGTATTCTGTTAACACATAAAAGACGAAATTGAATTTTTCATCTGCCAGGAATCTTATAAAACACATGAGAATAACTAAAAATAAACTTTTATCACCTTATGCATCAGAAACAAAGCGTTTACGACCTATGTTTATATAAACCTTTCTCATTCTTGGCCAGATAAATTTTGCAACACCCCATACAACGAGCAATATAGAGATGAGTACAAAATTTAACGGCACACTTTAAACATGATCTATGTCATTTCAACACAATTTTTCTGTATCCAATGTTGCTTAGTTTTCAACGTATAAACCGTCAAAGTATTTTTTTTCATAATTTTTCAAAATTCTTTCATAAGTATTTAATTTTTTTTTCATATTTTAAATTCAGAGGCATCTAGAACTTATATTTTGCTTTTAACTATAGAAAAAAACATATTTGAAAAACATTTTTGAACCATTAATGTAGGAGTGCAGTCGTGCTTCTACCTTCCAAAATTTTTTGTATGAGCCAATGAGCTCTTACATGATTATTTAAAAACTTTTTATTGCTCGATAAATTTTAGCTAGGTCCTCTATTTTTAAGTAAAAAACAGTTATTTTCGACGTCACTTATTCACGTGCAATAAATAAGGTGTTTTTTTGGCAAAAGAATAATAAAAATTTTGAATCAATGAAGCTTTTAAAAAATTCAGTGAGTATATATAAAAAATTCTGGAGATAGAAACTTGACTACACTACTAGCTACTTATTTTCCTTAAAATCAAATGCAGAACGAAATGTAAATTGGAAGGAAAAGAAATATTGGTAAATGGCAAAGACATTAAAAAAAATTTGAGAATTCGCCACTAAATAAATTTCTGACATATTGAAATGAACGTAGTTATGCATCAAAAAAATGAATATATTTATATATTTTTTAGAAACAGTGACAAATGACAACTTAACTGAGATAGGTAAAACAAAAAATTATCATATTGTCATGACATGTATTTCAAAAAATGCTTGCAGAATATTTAAACTATTTTACGATATCTAGTGAATATACAGATTACTTCAATTTTGTTGAAAATTAAGAATGGCGTCGTACCTGGAAAACGACAAAATGGTACCACCCTGTATATATATATATTTCCACCACCCGCAGTTAAAAAAAACAACTCTAAAAACTGCTGAAAAAGGTAACGCCACTGGCTTATTGACAAATCAACACCATTCTATCAAGACATTGTTACAAAATTTTCTCTTTTCGCCTTTGAAAATATATTTATCGACGTCCAACCTACACGATTACTCCAAAATCGCTCCGATCGTACCACCCCTTCGCCCAGCATTTGCGACCGATCACACATATATACTTTCCCAAAACCTATCGTTACTCTAGCGATTCTTTAAACATTTCCATTGTTAAAAATGGCTTGACAGCTTATACCTCGAAAACTAAACCTATTAAGCAACATTGTATATTGCCTATATGGGGGAGAAATTGTGTAATTTCATCTCTGGAATGCGCCCTTAAGTTTTGTTCCCATCTTTATGTCACACGTTGTATACTGAAGACAAAAATAATCCTACTAAATTTGAGTGTTTTTTTTTTGTAGAACAGTATTTTTCAAGCAATATCAGGAGTGAAAAACATAATAAATCAAGTCGTCTTTTTAATGTTTACCAACTGTTTCACATGAGATTTTACTAGTTTCGGGAGCAATTAATTAAGAATCACATAATTCCGAGCTAAAATTTATAGCAAATGTTTCTTAGTAAAAAATATGTTAATCGCGAAATGCGCCCGAGGGCATCGTTTTTTTTCTCGGTAAACCGTTTCTGATACGTTTTAAAGTTCTGGATTAAAACCATTAAATATGTATATGCGTCTCGATTAACATATTCCGTCTAATCTGGCTTTTGCACAGTTTACTCCACAACATTTAAATTCCTCGTCAAAGTAAAGACTAAAATAGTACAGTAAACGCGCTTCTTGCTGCTCATTTACATATAAAGTGTGAAATTATTTGACTATACAGGGTGTCTCATAATTAGCTGCCAACCCTGAACAGGCCGATTCTATGATCAAAACTAAGTAAAAAAGTTCATATGAACATGGGTCCGGAAATGCTTCCTAAGGGCACAGGGACCCATTGAAGAGGGAGGAATGGAAATCATTTTTTTGCAATATCTCTCAATCGCGTTGTGATAAATGAATGAAATTTGGTATACACAGCTAAATTGACCAAAGTGGGATTAATTCAAGAGCGATTTTCTCAGAAACCGTTAAAGATAACGATTTGAAACAAGAGTACCTTTTTAACGTAAAACAGTTCGGGAAAACGGAATTTGCTGTCCAATTTGTTAAAAAGTCAAAGATGAAAAAGTTACACACGCAAAGTACCAAGGGCCCCCCCGTACCCACCCCAATGGACCTTGTGGAAATAAATGGATTAGTCCATCAAATTGCTCATCAAAATTCAGCTGTGTATAACAAATTTCATTCATTTATCACAACGCGATTGAGAGATATTGCAAAAAAATTATTTCCATTCCTCCCTCTTCAATGGGTCCCTGTGCCCTTAGGAAACATTTCCGGACCCATGTTCATATGAACTTTTTTACTTAGTTTTGATCATAGAATCGGCCTGTTCAGGGTTGGCAGCTAATTATGAGACACCCGTATACGAATGTTTCTATTACGCAGGCATTATTCAGTTTCTTAATTTACCATCGAATGGAATAACGCACCGACCGTCGACTAAGCAACAGGTATCTGCCTTCACAGCCGTTCAACTTACGGCTTTATCATCTAATTTATCCCATATTTATTCTAGGTTTCGCCACAACTTCCGTCCGTGTCAAAAAGTGACAAATATTTACCGTCGTTCGCGACTAAATCGACTGTATGTATTCAAACATGTAACCGCACATCCTGACCGGAGCGTTATCAGCACCTCCTGTCTAAAGTGCTCGAAAGAGACTTTATTAGTAAATTTTCGTTACCTGCTGTAACCCCACGCCGGGTCAGGTCGGGCTATTAGACGTGCCAACTGGTGTCCCAGCAACTTTTCGCTCAAGAACCTGAGTTAGTGAAGTGTTAAAAGTTATTGGAAGCATGCACCCGAGGAAGGGCTGAAGGGATTACGGACCTTCCAGGGAATATCCTTCAGTGATGGACACGGAGAGCCCCGTTGTGTGGCCGGCTTGGTGCTATTCAGGTTAGAAAGGGTTCTTAATAGTTACCTATGTATTTAGGTTCATTGTAGTTTTATCAATGCATTTCCAGAAAAAGATACCTTAAAATAACTCTTACTGGTTTGTTTCGTGTGGTTTTCAAAGACTTCCGACAGTGTATAACGCGAATAATTAATGTTATCCGGACAGGATTTTACTTGTTTCTTTTTTCAAACTAAAATATAAAGTCAAATAACTGCAATTTGTCAAATGATAACCTACATATAAAATTATATTAATGATGATAGGGGTACTTGAATTATTTATTAGAACTTTTTATTACTTAAGCACTTGGCTTAATATCAGTGGAAAGTTTTATAAGTGGTTTAAATGTTTAAAGCACTATTTAGTGAGAAATAGTAGTTGGAAAATGATGTACTATTAGTTGTAGTAGTACTGGAACTATCTATTATGACAACTTGTTATTACGTAAGCACTTAGCTTAGTACCAATATAAAGCTTATAAGTGCATGAAATTTTTAATTACTTTATTTAATTATTAATGCCTGTATATAATTTACGTAGTAGATCAATCATGTCAGTTAAAAAGAGTACTAACGACAGAATAAAAAAATAATAACTCAAGTTATTGAATACTTTTTATTGTTTAAGCACTTAGTAAGTACAAAATAATAAGTAAATATTGCTTTAAAAAAGCTCAAAGGGTTACAGGTATTCAAACCTTGTCGCTATTTTACCAAACGCTTCTGTATTAGTAAAGAAAGTGCTTAATGTAAACTTAATCCATATACTTTTTATTACTCAAGCATTACTAAGAGAAGTTTATAGATTTCCACTATGTTTATTAAGTAAACATGCATGGAAAATAGCACAAGAATTGGAAATACTCATTACCCTGTCGCTATTTTACCAAACGTTTCTGTATTAGTAAAGAAAGTGCTTAATGTAAACTTAATCCATATACTTTTTATTACTCAAGCATTACTAAGAGAAGTTTATAGATTTCCACTATGTTTATTAAGTAAATATGCATGGAAAATAGCACAAGAATTGGAAATACTCCTTATAAGTATTCAAACCCTATCGCTATTTTACTAAACGTTTCTGTATTAGTAAAGAAAGTGCTTAATGTAAACTTAATACAGGTACTTTTTATTACTCAAGCGTTAGTAAGAGAACTTTATAGATTTCCACTGTTTATTAAGTAAATATGCATGGAAAATAGCACAAGAATTGGAAATACTCTTTATAAGTATTCAAACCCTGTCGCTATTTTACCAAAAGTTTCTGTATTAATAAAGAAAGTGATTAATGTAAACTTAATCTAGGTACTTTTAATTACTCAAGCATTACTAAGAAAAGTTTATAGATTTCTACTATGTTTATTAAATAAACAAGCATGGAAAATTGTATAAGAATTAGAAATACTCATTACATGTCAATCATTTCTGCATTTCAGCAGTATTAAAAAATACTGGAAGTAAATTACTTAAGTTACACAAAGTCGTTAATTTTTTATTGTCAAAATATCTCTGTACGAAATGCACGTTATAAAGTTGCATCTTAGAATATTTCTGGGACATTTTTTGGATTGGAGGAAGTATAATAAAAGTATATACCATGTTTACTTGGCGCAGTGATATATAAATGCATATTCCCATAAAATTTCAGCAAAATACCATAGGAACAGTCGTTCCGCGTATACTGTCAACTGGATATTTTACAATTTGTACTTACTTAACCCACACCCTAAAAAAGGTACTTATGTTTCAAGTTATTACATATTTTAAAGAGGCATTACATTCATGTGGCGAGCCGTAACTACCTATTGTTCAAAATTTATTGCAAAAGTCTTTTTATAATATACAAACGGCTTTGGAGGAGATACAAGAGTCAAGGTCGTATTTTCATGATGACTGCTCAATCTCAGCAGATACTTTGAAATTTGGCAAATTATAATAACTTTAAGCAAAGTAGGTACTCCCGTTTTACTTACAAACATCAGTAATTTTGATAGCGCAAGTGTCATGTTGTTGCAGGACGAAATTGTAGGAATAAAAACATTTACCCATGAATATCTCACGTAATTTTATTAATTATTCAAATATATAAAAGCTATAAAATCAATCGAACATCGACCTAGGTGTTCGAACTGTAGGAAAGCGTAAAATATGGCCAATAAAATTTGTTAAAATTTAAGCGCCATTTTGTAATTTATGTGCCTAACCAAACTCTAAAGTCTAAACAATCGAAAGGTGGCAACTCTTTAAAAGGTCGTGAAATACTTATGGTACACTACTATTCATTTTCGGCTAACAATAAGCTATACAAGTATTTATTTGTGTAGTACGCAGAGTGTTGCAATATTCCATCGACCAAATTGTACAGTCGATTCTCTTATCGAAGTTAGGAAAAAATAGTGTAAAACTCCTCTTTGAAAAACCAATGGTACCTTTAAAGTACTATTTTTTTTTTCGGATTATGTCGTAGCCTACGTACCTGGTCGTATGTAATGCTTCCAAACGCTTCGGCGCTCTTCACTGTCTGCATCTTCACTGGCGAGTCTACAAAATCTTCGTCGATATTATTAGTAACTTTGAGTAAATCACTACATGAACAATTTTTAAAATCTATATGTGATTATTTTAAGTTTAGAATGTTTTTGGTGAAAAAACAGTTCATAGAGTTTTTTTTTTAACAAATTTGCGAAACTAGCAAACCTTACTTATGAGATAGGTTTGGATAAGTTAACATATCTGTGTTTGTCTATTTATTTTATGTTTCATATGAAAGTCTATCAGTTTGAGCGGTTTCGTTTTTTAAATAAGTGTGGCTGTAAATTTCCCAATAATTATTTAATTTAAACAGGAACTTGAGGTATAATTTATTATTATTAAAGTTAGATACATTTAAACCCACACCAAAAGAAATTTCCGCGCAATCTATCAAATGGCTAACATTAACTCCTAACAAGAAAATTCTAGCTAATTACTTTGAATGTGGTTTGGGTCGCAACAAAATGTTAAATATTTGCTTTATATGATGTACCTGCATTTATGACTGCATCCATTTTGTTGAAAAATACGACACCAGTGATTTCTTGTTTAAATTGAAACATTATAGGATAGCATAGAATTTGCTACAGGATTGTCAAAATACTGGTCAATATTTATGTCGCTTAAAATAGGCATGATGACAAATTTTGAAAAACTGTTCTATGATGTTCGGAAGTATTTACTATTTCCAAAAAATATCTTATTTCTGTGGAAAATAAAAGGTTTAGTATAAAAATATTGACATTCTAATTTTAAGTCTAACTCACTTAAATACGGTCGCCGGTGTCATGACGTCTACGTGACGTCACATCTATGTTTGTCAACAGTAAACATATGGTGTATTTTGTGTTGAAAGATTCATTAGTTAAATAAAAATACAAAATGTTACTATAATAGTTGATGCATTTTATTTTTCCTCAAATTGTACTTTAGTATAACAATGGATACAAATTATCTTTCCATAAAAAGACTAAAACATTAAGAAAATCTAATACATAGTTGTCATCAAATGTAATTATTTCTACTTATTTGTACTATAGTTGCAATCAGTTACACCGAAATAGCTCTTTTGAAGTCCTGTTAAATACATTTTTAGTTGCCATCTGCACATAAAATTTTTGGGTCGGTTTTCCTTTTTCCACATAATTTTTAAAAGTCTTCATATTCGTGGTACACTTAATTTCAATAATACTGTCTTCACAGATTCCATCAGGCGATCCTGCTATCGTGGGATAGTTTTTGCAAAGCATTATACCACATTTTTTAAATTTTTTCCCCAATCTGGTACAGCATTCCTCACTTCATCCTCCAAAATTCTATCGCGTTTCATGGCCTGAGATTTTTCCTCCCATTATTAACGTGATCAGAGTTGCATCATTGGTTTTGCACCAACTAAATTCAAACGCTGGTGAGGCCGTCACTCTGTCATATCTTAACTCATGGCAAAAACAACTTTGATGTTGGTCTCGTTTCTTCTTCAACTTTCATGTCATCTTCATCAGTCAATGCGAGTTTTTTCAAAAATGTGTCACAGGACTGTTCTTTGTATTTCAGCACCAATTTATGCATGGATAAACTTTTGATCACAAACAGTCTTTATATGATATTGTCGCAGTTATTGAGCTTTATTTTCTTTAATTCTTCTAGAAACTTTTCGAATACATAACGTTTCTTGATTATGGGTTTGGTAACACAAAACTAATCAACTGAGATTTGGGAAACACAAAATATTTCAACGAATATAAATACTATGGATATTGTCGAAGTACAAATGAAACAAAATGACATTTACATAGATGTGACGTAATTCACCCTGATTGGTGTTCAACCTATCAAGGAGGTTTGCTGTATTTTGTAGTTTTATTTTATCAAAAATATTATCAATCTCGCTCATAATATAAAAATAAATACGTTTTTTATAATCCATGAATCATATTTCATTAGATAAATACATAATTTTAGCGATTCTTGGTTACTGTCATCATGCCTATTCTGCATTATCGTACTGAGCTGTGACGAAAGAAAAATTAATTAAATATTTTTTTCTATAAATTAATTTATAGAAAAAACTCAAATATTTCACATGGCTACTTGACTTTTCTATTAAAATTAAAATTATATTCAATATCTTGGTTATTTATTCATGAAAACCCCATAAATTATACAACGTTGTAAAAATAATTTCCCCTTTTAGACCGATCAAAAATAACTCATTTAGAGGAAAAAAAAAGGAAATTGTTACCTGGACTTTCATAAGTGGAAATGGTAAAGGGGCTTATAATAAACGAAAAAAAAAAAAATAATAATAAATGCGTCAGCAGGGGCGGCGGAGGGTTGATTTGGCGGGTTGAAAAGTTATGAAAAATTGTATCATTGGGATTTCTGGCGAAAGTCGACGTCAAACAAAAAAATATCTAATACAAAAGTTGTATATTATGCAAAAATCTACAACTTTGGTAGAGATCATT